GTTTACCGCACGTAGGCTCTCCACGTTTTGTGTTTTCTCTTGTTTGTCGCTTTGTCGTATGTCCCTTTTTATTTGATTCCTCTTCTCTTCGAATCATTGATCTGATTTGAGAGGGAGATTTATTTGAATGGGGAAATATACGAAGATCGACGGGCTGACGACTCTTTAAATAAAAGGGAGGAAGACAAACGAAAATAAAGTCAAAAGAAAAATTGGGGATACTGCATTTAACTGACACGAATGATTTGAAACCCTAAATTAAGGATAGAGTCAGGTAAAAAATGATTTCTAGATGATAAATAAAACCTTAGACTCTATAAAGTAACTTATAGGCGGACTAACATAGATTTTGGAATAACATCCCCGGTCCAAAAGCCCATGGCTTCCCGTCATTCCAGAAACGTTGATATCTATCGACTGTGACTAACCTCATAACTAGGAATTCCACTTGAATGCTGGATCATCGAGGATTCGTAGCTCCAGAGAAGTTTGAAATACCTTCGTAAGTAATCTTGGGTTACTTTATTCTAAGGCATTCCTTCTAGTCTCAAGGGGTAGGTTTGCTGCTTTGTATGCCCTAGTCCTTAGCACTAACTATAATACGTAGACTAAGCAAGACTTCTATAATCAGACTAACCTAGGGTAAATGTAGGACTCTAGGTTTGGTTTCTAAGTTAGCTAACCATAGGTTAATGTCAAATCTACCTAGGTTTTGTTCTTAATCTTTATCTTGGTGTGTATTAGATGTTTATTTGAAGTTTGATATTTCATGTCTTGTTTCAATTCCTAGGTTTGTCAATTATGTTGAAAAATCAAAATTTTCTAACTTTTAAATTTATTTTGTTTAAGATTGATTTTCTTATGTTTGTGGGGAAAACTATTTTGTGAGAGGTTTCCACCCTATTTTTTGTTTTGAGTATTTTTGTTATGAAATAACATATGAAATAAAAATAGCACATATACTTAGACTTGGATTAGACATGGGATAGGGTTGAGTTGAGGTTAATTGAATTTATAGCTTAGGTCAACTCAAAATTGAGCTAAGGTATGATGTAGGTCAGCTAATTTAGGCCTGTGTCAGACCTAGACTGGCTCGGGTTAAGTTTGGTATGATTTAGGTTGACCAGGGATGACTTATGTTTGATTTGAGTTTGACTTGGGTAATCTATGATGACTCGGGTTGGGATAGGTTTGATATAGGTTGACCCGAGTTAAGCTGGGTTGACCCAAATTGACTTGGGTTTGACCCGTGTTAAGGTAGGTTCACCCAAGTTGATCTAGGTTTGATTTAGGTTCACGTGGGTTAGGTTTGAGTTAACTTGAGTTAAGCTTGTTTAACTTGAGTTGGATTAGGTTTGATTTGGGTTTAACTCAGGTTAAGCTAGGTTGGCTCGAGTTGACTTGGGTTTAACTTGAGTTAGGTTGGGTTAACCCGAGTTGACTTAATTTTGATTTGGCTTGACTTGGGTTAGGTTTAATTTAGTTTAACCCGGGTTAACCCAAGTTGACTTGGGTTTGATTTAGGTTTGAACCAGGTTAGACAAGGTTATCCTGAGTTAGCTTAAGTTTGATTTAGGTTGACTTGGGTTAGGTTTGAGTTGACTTAGGTTAAGCTGGGTTAACTTGGGTTGGGTTAGGTTTGATTTTGGTTTTACTCGGGTTAAGCTAGGTTGACCTGGGTTGGCTTAGGTTTGATTTAGGTTTGACCCGGGATAAGCTGGGTTCACCCAGGTTGAGCTAGTTTGATTGGAGTTTGGGCTAGACCTGGGTTGTGT